TAAGTCTGATGTATATTAGGGAAGTTTATATTCTGAAGACTTAATGGAAAATAAAGGTCTACATCAAAATATTTGAAATACCGGTGGATGAATATGATGTCCATTTGCTGAACTGGGAATGGTTTTTGCAGTGGGGTCATGGGCTTGGTTTGATCTTGCAGCTTTGTTACTGCTGAAGATGATAATAACATCAGTGTAAATCACTTAACTGACTGAAAATGGCTGCATTGGGATTTGAATTGAGATCTGCCTGACTACAATCTACTTTCCAACACTATTGGGTTCATGTAAATTATGTATTAATTCCCAATATGTGCCTAACTCAGCAGGTCCCCACTGTGGATCTGATTTATTTTCATTAGGAATTCATGTGGCTTTTGATTTACGTTACTGAAGTCAACAGAATTTTTCTAGTATTTTACTATGAGGTTGAGCAAATGGCATTGTCTTAGAAAAAAAGATATAAGTACTTAGATATATCCTATAATCACCCATAAGTACTGCAAAATAAGACATACAGGATACCATGTATATACGATACTAGAGCAATATTTAATCACATAACCACTTAATGTGAAAACAAATCTCTTTCTTTAGTAGCCAGAAGAAATTGAGTCACATACTTGGAGTTGAAATAGCATCGAAAAAAGGAATCATCTACCAGGTGATCAACTGTTTCTACAACAGTCTCATCTTTAGAAAAAATTTGCACTTTAAATAGATCACATTGTATATCTCAAAAGGAAAAATGCTGGTTTCTTTGCAAAACATATAGTACTTTTCTTCAGGAAATTTTTCCAGGTTATCAAGAAATACAACAATCAGGGCCAAGGAAGAGAGGAAGAAATGAAAAGGGAGCTGTGGAGGGAGATGCATTGACTGGGTGGAGTTGGTAGTCAGAGAAAATGATACATATCCCATTGCACAGTAAATCCAGATCAAAATCTGGTACATAACCATAATATTCATCACTTTTTAATCTTGTGTTTAAAATGTATCTCTAAAACACATGTGATGACTTCATTAATATTTTCCTACCATTTAGACTGTGCATCTAAATGAATTGCAAGTAGATTAACTTCAAAATAACCCACGCGATCTTCTCTTGGCAACTCTTCGCATTAACTGAACAAAAGCTCAGTCAGAATGCTCTATAGATGGCCTTGGCGTTTCAAGTCTGCACATACAAAATGACTCAGAAAATTTTTAGTTAAAATTGAGCAAAGTTTTTTGCCTCTGCTCCTCTTGAGAGTGGGATGCCTGACAGTCAAGTGTTCAAGTGGAATTACCAGATCATAGGCGCCAACCCACATCAGTGGCGAGGTGTGGACAAATACAGGCAGGACTCTCATTCAAAACTTAAATGACCCAATCTATCACTATATGCATTTGGAGAAGAAAGGCTTCTCTGATCTGCAAGAAACAGTGGAATGTCTACTAATCAAAAGATATTCAAGCAAAATTAAAAGATTATAGGCATAAAGTCATGTTTTTGACTATGCATGAACAACCAACATAGTCTATCACCATATTGAGAACAAAGGCTTCTCTGGCCCCTAAGGAAAACAAATCCATTGCCATACACAAATTAAAATGCCTATAAAAGTTTCCTTTTATATCAAACTTTGGCAAGACTTGAACCTAAGTAACTAAAGCCCCTCACCCCCTGTTGAAAGTCACTTTCCCACTCTACTGAACAGAGTTTTTTTAACTCTGTGTTTTCTCATTCTCTGCCCAGCTTTGGGCAGTCTGCATTCTATGCTCAGTTTTCATCCTCTTGTTCCTGTCTCAATTCTGGTTAAAGTGAATACTTGAAATACGGTCTCTTCAGCAGCATGCAAACACTCTAGGAATTTGATGCTTTCCAGAATAATCTGTGCTTGTTATGTAAGTACAATCAAAGACACTTTTTCAGAGCAGAACAAAAGAGATTAGATTCGCTTTAGTTTAAATTGTCTAAAGAGAGTTCTCAGTCATGGATTTGCTAATGGCTTCAGTACATAATGGAAACAGAATCCTGCATTTTTATTAGTCACCCAAGAAGGCTTTCGGTTTCAGGTTTTTCTGGGGAGCGCAGTCACAGAGACACTTCTTTTAACAACTTGGAAAAAAACGTCATGTCTGATTAGGAAGTTAGTCATTTCACATTTTGACATCTAATGAATAATGTGAAGTGTAAAGCCTTCACAAATAGCATTTATAAGCAGTCAAATACATCACTTTAACGATGGAAAAGTTCAAGGATTTATGGCAACTTTCTTTGTTCCTTTTAATCCTAATTCACTGCTTTAGTACCTGATATTTGGTAAATATCTGCATTGAATTCAAACAAATGTTGATAGTTCTTTATCTCGATGGGAGAGCATTATAATTTTGTATCAGCAGGTTTTGTGTTCTGAGAGTGAACTTTCTGTTTGATGTTTTATCACTCAGGATGGTTCCAGCCCAACAATATCATTGTCATTCACTTTCCAAATGTGAAATTCACTTTCCAAATTTGAAACATTTTCATGGAGTTCTAAACGTAGAGTCTTCTGAAAATGAGTGATAGAGTAGAATTTGGGAAATGGCCCTTATTTCTGGAGACTGTTTATTGCTTCTTGTTTTAGAAGTGGCTTCAGGCTCGGTCACAGACATCCCTTGAGGCTTTACTTTTCCATTTACTTTGTCCATTTAAGGATAACATATTAGGAGTTTTGCTACCGAGAGATTAAAATAAGTAACATTTGCCGGTGCTTTCTGTACTGACTGCTGCCTTCTTTCCTAGCCTCACTGGCCAGTCTTCAGTACACACAGAGGCAGCCTACCAAGCCGAGTTCTGTCATGTGTCATACTTTTCTGTGTATCCCAAAAGAAAAAAAAGAACAAAAATGTGCCTCTTTGCCTTAAAACTGAAAAGGTAGAATCATACAGTTTCCCCCCATCAGCTGGTAAAGTCAATTGGCCTGTGAGATTGTACTGTAAAACTCACTGAGACTTTATGGAAACTCTTCCAGGACCTGGCCATGGCACAGCTGGCATGTTCCAGCCCTGTTTCTCCAACACTGCAGCATCATCCCACGGTGGCTAGGCAAGAACGGATCACAATAGGAGATACTAAAGCACTAGTTACCAGGGCTATTTTCTGCATTGTTTTCAAATTTATAGCTCTAAAAATAAATTGGGGTGAATATGAATGTCAGAATTGTGATTTTTATCTGTTCTATGTATTTCTGCTTTCATATTTATTGAGTACCAAGGTATCAGTCATTCAGTCTAGACATGAAAAGAGTAAAGCCCTTCTCAGGGTTCATAATTATATCTTATCATTTAAATATGTTCTCTTAAAAAGTCATCATCCCTGGGCCCTCCTTGATGGTGCAGCGGGGTAAAGCACAGCACTAAGAAGCTAAAGCCAGTTCAGCATGAGTTTGATCCCCAGCTGCCTGGGAAGTGACCCACATGGCACAGCAGACCTCTCCTGACCTGCCCACTGCTCCCCTCAGCAGTGTACTTCATCAATCTGCCTGTTCTGCTCCCCACTCTGTCTCTGGTGAATCCTCTCACTGCACCTGCACCTCTGGCCTGTACCCCAGTTCTGTGTGCATAAATAAATAAATTTTTTTAAAAAATAGTCATCATTCCTTCTCCCTAGAGAGAGGATAGGTGTCGTTATATTTAGCTAGTACCTATGTTTTTATTTTATAGTTTGAATTTCATGACAGCAGTGAACAAAACCAGTTTTCCTGAAGAGAGAAACTCTGATGGCCGTATTGAAAGAAAATAGTGGGTGATGAATAAAGCAGAGCATATCAGGGCAGGAGAACTGTCAGAAAGAAAGAGCGAGTGGAAAGAGCAAGCAAGAAATCTGGAAAACACAGGCAAGAAAGCCAGGATGCTCATTGGTGCCCCTCATAGAGCCTAAAGAAAGATATACAGTGTCTTTCTTGATACATCATTTCGTTAAATGAAATGAACCTCTCCCTATACCATGTAGTATCGATGCATTTTTAAATTATGTTAGAGTGCTTATATTCCTAGAAATCAAATATGTAGTATTGATGAAGTTCATGATCCATCACTCAGCCCTACTAGGAGCAAAGGTAAAAAGGCCGAGGTAAGGCCATCCTCTCTAGAACACCTGCTGTGATAAGGCTTGCTTCCTGTGTGAGCATATCTTTACCTTTTGGTCTTAGGATCATGATAAATAGAAAACTTTAAAACTGAATTAAAGGAATATGCTAGGGAAAGAATGAAGTCATCTCACATGTTATAAAATAACACACAATATTAAAAACTGCTTCCTAAAACAAGTACCACTCCAGCAAGCTCTTCTAATGAATTAGTCACAATTATTATAAATCAAACACTTCATTAAGAAAAATCACAGGATCTAATAGTAAAACAGAAATAAATGTTGTAACCATTTCTTGCCTTTATGAAAAGAGAGATGAACTCAGCTTCTTTGACTCTTTGTTCAAAATATATGCTAAATATATTAACTATTGCTTAGTAATAAATTCACCCAGTAGTAGATTGAATATAGTAAATAGAATGTGATAAGGTGATGATTTCAAAGAAAATAAATTAATATAATAAGTTGAATAATGTAAGATCATGATTTCAAAGCACCAGGATACCATTTACATTTTTGTAAGAAGACACTTAACAACCAATGATCCTTTCAGGCACAGAGAATAGAAACTGTTAGCATAAATTTTGTGGGGAAATTTAATTTTTAATAATAAAGGAATATTCTCCATTTTCATCTATTAATGGCTACCATTAAACAAAAATGTAAGTTTATGTTTGTGAGCACAGTGCCGATAATAATTGATATTATTTGAAAAGAGTCATAAATTCTGTCTACCATATAAAATCCTGACTTAAATAAGGTTAATGATAATTGCTAATGTGATATTAGTACACAGATATCCCCAAAACATACCAAAATGAATATTCATGGTATTTTGTCCTTCATGCTAGTAAGCAAATTAATAAATCATTTTTTTTCTCTACAGGAATATTGAAGACTTTAATACCAAACCCTCCAAGGTCAGAATGAATACAGGTATGCTATCTCAGTCTTAAATTCTTTAGCCTTGCTCTCTAAAAATTATATTCACCCTCAATCATTAGCTTAACACTCTGCTGATCTTAACTGTGATTTTGATTAGATAGACAACCTAAACTCATTCCTTGATGTTTTAGTCATTGGGCTCCATTATTATAGCTATTAGAAGTAAAATTTTCTGTTTTACCTACTTTTTCTGTAATTATGTCTTGGAATTAACTCCTGCAAATCTTAGGATTCAGTACTATGTCATCTGCATGGTTATTTTTGGACTCTCTCACTTAGAAGAAGCTAAAGTCAAAATTGCTCTAACAGAAAGCGCCTCATTCTAAAAGTTCTTTCTGTTGAAAGCAGTTACAATGTCAGAATTTCATAGAAAATCAATTTCATTAATCTATACATACATATCAAGTCATAAGCATTGTATTTCTGATGTGAGAAAAGTTGTCTCCAAATAGCTGAACAACACTGATGCCTCTGAGCTCTTATGAATACAGATTAATTGTGAAAGTGTTGGTGATACAAGCTGTGTACATAGGAAGTTTTTGCATAGTACAAATATTTTAGCTTCTATTTTCACCTTCTTCCCTCTGGAATTTTTATATTAGTAATTATTCTGGAAGACAACTTTGTCACTGAAATGTAATTTATGGTTCAAAAAATAGCAGTCACCTCATGGTAAAGGAGAAAAGATGATTCAAAATATTTGCTGACATCAAGATAGTTTCAGGTTTGTTGTCACTTATTGTTATCAAAGCGCCTGGAGAGACAATTAACAACCACCTATAAATAATCCCTATAAATAATCCCTAAATCGAGTGTAGAGACCCGCTCCTCTGTGCTTGAGTCAGTGGCTGCTTCAGCAGAGACCTGCTCTAATGACCTCAGAAGGTAGGGAGCAGGCAAGAAGAAACGACTTGAGACATCCACAGATCCAAGGACACTGATAGAGCAAGAGAAATTGGAACCCCAGAAATGAACCAGGTAAAAGCATTTGGGCAATTGGAGGTGTGGAAATTTCCATTTAGACATGGAAATGAAAGGAGGACTTTTATTAGGCAAAAGAGACTGCAAAAAAGCAGATAGGATGCAGAGCCCAGTGCTGAGTGAGGATTAAATCATGCTGTAAAGCTACAGTTGTGCCAAAGCATGTTCACATGAGGTAGTTATATTTACTGAGTGTTCTAAGCTCTTTCCTCACAGATAGGATGAACATAGCTTCCCAATATGCTTCATTTTGTGGAATGCTAATTTTCCTATTTATTATAACCTGGTTATGACAGAGGCATAATATGGGATTATAATAAATATGCCATTTTCATGTGCAATGCATTCAGTGGTTCACCTTCTGATCCTAGTAGCAAAGCAGGCAAACGGAAACTGGTAATTCTGTTAGGTTGCTGGGAACTTGGAGCAGCATAAATACAACACTCAAAGCATCTTCTCATTTTTAAGTAGTAGCTTGGCTTTGTATGAAAGTGAATTTGCATAGCTTCTATGCAAATTTCTATTTGCGTCTATGAGTGAATTGATGCATGTAAAATATGAAATTCAAAATTATGCATGTGACTGGAACTCTTGGTTTAAAATTCCAAAGTCAGACTACAATGTCACTATAAAAACATAACACCTTTAAATATGTAAATATTCCTGTGGGAAATTATAGCAATATCTAAAAATTGAAGAAAAAATTTTTCCCTAAATGTAGTAATAAAATGTGTCTTCATTATCTATCAATTGCTAAAGAGATATATTGCTGTCTCAGTGTCCACATTACAAGATTTAAAACAGATCCTTTTAAACCAGTGCTTCATTTTTAGTTGAATACATGATCAATTAACCAAAAGAAACAGGACTCATTTTCCATCCTAAAATATCTAAACAATGTATAAAGTGTAAAATATGGTGCATTTTCACTCTTATTACTTGTTACCCATTGTTTTCTAAGGCAAATTTTATCTATTAATGAAAGAAAGGAGAGGACTTTAAAGAGCTTATTGTTTGCAATTTTCCGGCAATAGAAACAGCTTCCAAGAATTTCGTAGCTCATGAAAGTGACCTAACAAGGCTACAAACCATAATGAGTGTTAGGCAAGAGTAAAATTAGGATCTTCTGATATGGTGTAAAGTATGCATGATAGATTCCTTATTTTGACATCTAAATATCTTGAAAAATATCAAAGCATCAACACACAACTAAATAGAAACAGAAAACATATTTCTCTAGTTCTTCAATTTCACAAATAACTCAGTTTTTCCAACTAAGAAAAAGTTATTTTTGTTAAACTTTATTAAACTGTTAATGAAGTCAGTCTCCATTTATTTAATGAATATCTTAGAGTAGTTTAGAAATTACTTTACTTTGAGGTTCTCACTCCTTGGTTTACAGTGCCAAGATATTTCTGTCATTTTTTACCACATTCTTCAGTTTAAAAAATCTATGTTCTTTATTTCATTAAGTACTATATAGTTAAATACTATATCCCATCAATTCAGAAGCAATTTAACAAAATTCACATGAATTTTATTTTTTTATAATCAGTTATTTTCTGTGTTGAGCACTGCATATGTTGAGCACCCCAAACACTCTCTTATTAAATTATACATTGCCACTGTCATTTACCAGTCCAAAATGATTTTCACAAGGTACTTGTTTTTCATCAGAGCAACCACCAAAAATCCAACTTTTCAAAAATGTGGCAACATCCAAAGGGAGAATAGTATGCAATCTATTATGCTGAAATGGACCAAAAATTCATGCAAGATCTGCATAATTGTCAATTCTCCTCCACCACCCTTGTGAATCCACGTGCCCAGGGCACGTCAGCACACAGTCTGGGAACCACAGGTTTAATCCATATGACCCTGGACTTCCTCCTTCTGAAATATTTCCCTTTTAATCTCTGCTTGTCTTTGGAAAGTCAGAACTAATAGAAAACAAAACTCTCTTAAGAAATCATCAGTTTTCACTTTAACACTCCTGACTGCATAACCCATTTTAGCCTGTTGGTAGCCGCTCTCCCCACATATTCAATAGCATTACCTCACTTTATCAGGAACACATGTCCTTTGTAGCTATTTACAGTTTGCCAAAAGCCTTTTGGTGCCTCTTTTGAAGATTTCTTCAGTTGTGTGTTTTTACCATTTGTCTATGTTTGGTCTTTGAATTCTAACCTTTGATTTATTTGACTGTCACTGTTGTTACAAGTCATTTTTCAGTTTTAAGTTATTATCTGCATTGGGAAATTATTATTTTAAATATACATCCAAGAAATTATGTTTCTGATTTGAAAATTGTTCTACCAATTTTAAGGTCTGTTGAACTTACTACTTGTGATTTAATCAAAAATGAATTCAACTAATAGTTCCAAGCATTCTAAAATGTCCTTAATTCCATTCAAAATGGATAATTTTCCTTCAGAAATAACAATAAAGAATAGTATATGGCAATATATAATGATTATGGTATCATATTGATTTTTTTTTCTTTCTTGTTGTAACTTTAACAAAATTAAAGTTGTCTTGGTTCCAGGGGACTGAGCAAAACTATTTATTGCACATGCCATATGACAAAGGAATGTGGAATGGAATTGGAATTTATTCATAAATAGAACATTAAACTTCCTATTTTAGAAGTCTCATTACTCTGAACTCTACATACATAGTAAAATACAATCCATTTTTACATGTTTTGCTTTACATTATGATTTGTTTAAATGCAAATGTATAGGTTGACATATACAAAAGCATAGAAACAACATAATTTTTAAAAACATGGTCATTTCAACATCATATATATCAATATTTTATTTCAATTACACTAATAATTTATGTGATTAATAAAAATTATAGGAAGACATATAATTTCCACAATGTGATTTCTTTATGAATTCCATATGTTAAATGTATTCTATATATGTCAGTTAATGCTTCAAACTATCTTCAGGAGTCCTAATAGCTAAAATACAGTAAAGCGTGAAGGATAGATCTGAAAGTATATTATATTATATCATAGCTCTTAATCATAAAATATAGGCTATCTATAACTCTAAAAAGAGATAAGGCTGCTATAAATTTAATATGAATTGAATTTACACAGTATAAAGAAAGTTGAGTTCTACAACAATATGCTCTGTCATTAAAGAAAAACCAAAAAATGTTAAGTACACACTCTGTTTCTCCCCCAAAGCATTGGCACAGAGTTCCCAGGCCCCTGATTTTTTCTTTTGTTGTGTTTATAGTTCATTTTATTCGGGGTGGGTGTGTAATTTGCAGATGCATTCCATGGTTACTGACTCTGGCCATCTTTCTCACTGATGTCTGGCACGTTTCACTGAGGATGCATGACACTGCATGTGCTTTCTCCTCTGCTGTGGCCTCTGCTATATCATTTTTTTGCTTCCAGATAGCGGTGGGTGTGCTCGCAAACGTGCTGCCATGTCTGTCACATTAACATCTGTGAAGAGAGTTCAAAGTTCTCCAAACCTATTGGCTGCAGGTATAATATCACTAACTCACAGGATGTCGCATTTGAATGGCTTTATCTGACCTTTCTCTCTTTCCAGAATTATCTTGTTTGGATGATTAAAGTGGCTGTAAATACTTTCCTAATGACCCACAGGTTCTTACTTTTCTCATTTCAAGAATAGCTTCTAGGCCTTCTGACTGTTGTTCTAAAAAGGAAATCCAAAGGAAACTGATATCATGTAGAAAGACATTTTGAAAGTCTATTTAAAAACAATAGTCCCCTTGCCAAAAATGTGTTTAGTAATTTCAAGTGTTAATAATTACTTAAGTTTTGGCATCTCATGAGCTGAAGCAATATAATGTTCAGTTAAGATAACTCTTAGGTACATTAGTTGTTTAGACCTAAAAATTGTTGTGGGGTAGATGGTCAACTCTTGTTGGCAGGAAGTGGAATCTTTATTAATTTGCTTCTTCATTAAAGGTTGCAAACAGATTGATAAATAGAATATTAGTTTTGTGAGAAACCTGAAACTTTCCTTCCCTTAGTCCATCTGTAAGAACCTACACACACACACACACACACACACACACACACACATACATAAAGAGTGAGCTCTTGGTCTAATGAAAATTAACTTGTATCCACAGGTAAAAATATACTGTAGAAACTAACTGGGAGTATGCTATTTCAACATCCACCAAAGTAGGCCACTTTGTAATAAATGTCTATCATTATTTCCCTGAATTTTTAGTGTAGTGCTTAAACAGCATCCAACAACTCCAGAGTCTCTAAACCCTGAGAAATGTACCAGATCTTTGGTGACTGCCGGTTGGTTTGATTGTTGGCTGTTTGATTTGGGGTTTCTGACTTTTTATTCATAATATTCATGGATTTGGAGACAGAGTAGGGAAAATATGGAAAGTGTTTAAATAATTTAAATTTGCACTGTGCATATCAGCGTTTTGTGTATACACACACACTTAGTAGTTAATAAAATATTAATGATCTTCTTGCCTGTAAAGCTACTTGAATTACCCACTTTTTTAAGGAAAGAAACAAACTTCCACATAGAGAATCCATTCCTGCCCACCACCCCCAATCCACAAGTGATTTTTAATGTCTAAGTTTAAGTAAACATATGGTACCAGGTGGTACACAATGTATTTTCAATTGTTAGTTTTTAAAACTGCAAACTGCATTGAGATGTGTGTAGTATGATTTCATGTGGGTTAAAATTATATACATATGTATATACACATATGTATTTGTACATGTTTATCAGTATGGATGAATATGAACAAATATCAGGAGAAATAACAAATATGTTTTTACTTGAAATACCTTAGGGGAATGGGAATCCAGGAACAGATAATCATCAAAATGCCTGTGCTATAAATATCATGAACATTTCAGTCAAGTAAATTCTAGTCAGGCTGCTCAAATGTGGACCATGGATGTGCAGGTGAGGGAGGGTGGCACACTACGCACCAACACCAATCATTATTTATGAACTCAACCCCATGGGAACAATATTAGCTGGAACAAAAGACGGCCATTTTGTAGAGTCACAACTGGAATATCAGGAAGTTCAAGTCACTTAGCTTAATGGAAAGCCTAAATACTTATGAGATATGAAATGATCTTTGGTTGCAAGAGTATGTAATGGTTCTGGACCATTTTAAATTTTATATCGCGAAGTAAGGTTTCTAAAAACTGAAGTCCCCTGAATTTTTGACTTAACTATTAATTAAAAAAGATTACTTTGCATTAATTAGATACATAGTATATAATCCCTTTTTCAAAGATGCTTCGATTTCATTTTGAAGAAAGAAATCAGTTTATTTTATGCCCAACCACATTTATGGTAGCCTCACAAAAACTTACTTGAAACAGTGTGTGAATCAAAGGGGATTAATAAATATGTATTACACATATTTATTAAATATTATTAGATATTAAATATTTATTAGATATTATTAAAATAAAGCAGCCTTGGTGAAAGACTACCTCCACAAAGTGTTGCAAGCTTCCCTGTCTCCTCTTTCAGATTAGAAAGTCAACATACTGATAGTTACCAATGGTTTGTTCACTAAATCAGTGTTTCGCTTCTTCTTTTACAAGAAGTAAATTCCCACACAACCTTCAAAGCAGACACTGAGGTTTTAAATGTATGCTAAAAAGAAAACAATGACTAGAGATACACAATAACCCTTTCAAAGTATATTCTACTTTGCCTATACACTGGGAAGTCAAGGTTGCGTTGCTAAGGGTGTGTACTGAGGTGACCAGATTACCGTGCCACCTGCCCATTCACACCCTCAGGAAGATTCTTGTCTGTCTGTTTGTACCTTAGTTTTCCTTTCTTAAAAGGTAAGGAATTTGTCTGATATTCTACTACCAGTCTGAGAACTTAGTCACTCCTAAACAAACACAGATTTATCAGGATTAAATGAGGGTAAAGGAAAATAAATGGAAAGACTGATAGTACTTCTAAACACAGTAGGCATTCAATTCGTTTACTTAAATTTAATTAATAGTAAAATTAATTCTTGTGAAGCAATTGAATCCTCTAAAGAAAGGAATTGGAAGAATTAAAATCTTCATGATTTCCAACAAAAGTATAGTTCAAAATGTCAGTTTAGTGTGTACATTACTTAAAAGGAATTTAAATAAAACCAACATAGAGATTATGGTGTAGCCAGCTGCACAAACACAGCTACTTAAAATCACAGTATGAGAGTCATGAAGTTGGAAAGGACCTTTGAGGACCTCCAGTCCAACCTCCAACAGCAACACAGCAAGGGGAGGACAATCTCTCTGACAGGAATCCTGCACTTGTGCGTACTGAAGAGAGCTGTTTGAGCTCTTCATTCTCAAAGACCCTATTGATATACGTAAACAAAGCAGCTATAAAACTGCCCCATGTATATTACTCAGCAACCAAAAAAGAGAAACACATGTCTTTTGCAGCAACTTGGATGGAGCTGGAAAAGATCATGCTTAGTGAGATAAGCCAGAAAGAGAAAGAAAAATACCGGATGGTTTCACTCATAGCAGGAGCATAATGGACCAGGAGAGAAAATAACAAAAATAATGAACAACCATATACCAGAGACATTTTGAGGGGGTGGAGTGGGGAACGGGATCAGAAATGGGGGGGGGAGGTGCACGTGATTATGGTGATGACACACGGGTGACTTGGTGATGGGAAACCCGCGGGGATTACAATTGAGATGGAAAAAAAAAATGTACAAAATGATGTAAAAATAAACTGTTATAAAATTAAACAACAACAACAAAAAAACTGTGCCATGTGCTTGTTCAGAGAAGCAATGACTATCTACTAAAGAATACTGGAATTTAAGGCCCTGATCTCTAGAGCTCTCGCTCTGTGTGTTCACAGGAATCATGAAGAATGATAACGCAATGCCGTTTTCTCTTCACATCTGCTGAGTCTTTTTTTTTTTTAAAAAAACTTTATTTGATGTGGGTGCAGGATTTTTATGCTTTCTCTGTTACCTGATTTGAAACGCATTTGTTTTCCCTTTCCTGAGTTTCCTGGCAGTGATGAAATATAAGCAGGGCTGTGGTGAACAGTATTCACTCAGGAGGGTATTTATGGTGGCCTGTGAAGAGCCACCATAAAATAGCAAATCAGGATTAGATGTTTTAAATATTTATAATTGGACTTATTTTAAAGAAATCGAAATGGTGTATTCTTAAGAGGCCATCCATTTAAAACAAAACTTCAACTGCTCACGTAAGTTTCAATAAAATATGGGTTCAAATTGGAATTTTAACCCTTGGCCATGTTTAGCCATAAAATATTGCATAATGGGATAGACACATTTACTCTTACTCAAAGTAAAAAAAAAAAGTGCAAACTGAAAAAAAATTCTCTATTTAAACATGGGAGTTAAAGATTCAGTCAGTCCATCAAGTTAAAAGCTGAGAACCTAGTGGTTTGACTTATGCTGAGAGAAGCCATCATTGTTTCCAAACTAGATTCCTCTTGACCCTTTAGTTTGATATTTAGAAATTTATATAACCAATTTGAGCAAATAAGATGAAGATTACCTGGTTGTACTTTATTGAGGTGAAAAAGCATAATATATATATTATGTGTGTGTGTGTGTGTGTGTGTGTCAACTATATATCATATATATTTCATAACAGATATTCCAGGTGAAGTAAAAGTAAATGCACAAACCACCCCTTAGTATATTTAACTTAACTAGAATTAACTAGAATTTTCCAACTTACCCAGGTTATGTGTGCAAAAAGAAAATGCATGTGGTCTTTGACAAATGATTTTTACTATATTGTTTTACTATATTGTTCATTTCTTTTACCTTACTATTAATTTCAAGATTTTTTTTCCTTTTAGGACGTGATTCTCAGTCACCAGACTCAGGTACAGAAATGTTATTCTGAATAATCATTACCCTTATTGGAAATCTTTTGTTTTGATTATTCATAACCACATTGTTGCCCTCACAATAAACTTAAATTACATAATATACAATATGCAGTGGGATATTAAATTGAATTAAATATCTAGAAAGAAAACTTCTTTGAAATGAAAATAGTTAATTAAAAAGTGACAAATGAATGTAGATATTTTTGTATCCAGTTTGTTTTCCCTTAATAAAAGCTTGGAGATCTTACAATGATTGAAATCAAGAGACACTGAATGGAAATGCTCCATATTCCTCTCTTGCAGCAAAAGGTTTTAGAAGCGTTCGACCTAACCTACAAGAAAAAAAATCACCACCTCAGGTAATTCTACATCTGTCTACTACACCATTGCTTTAGAACCTATTTTCTAGTAAGACGCAATGTCAAATGTACTTTATTTTAAATATGTTTTTGCTTTTGTATTTGCATTGCTTGCCATACTTGTATTTATAATATGGAAGACATGTTTTAAGTTGAAAACATTTTGGGGGCTTTTTCTGACCCACTTCATAAAAGTAGGTCAGTTACTGACATGTTTTGGTTATTTAATTCTTAAAAAATGGTCAGCTGTTGCTTTGGATTTCAAAGTTATGAAATCAGCAATGCATTATTTATTAAATAAATATGAGTTGTACAATTGTTCATTGTATTAACTAAAGGAACTCTGTGTTGGTAAGATTAGTAAAATATCATTGAAACAATGTGACTAAGTAAACACTGTGTGTGTGTGTGTGTGTGTGTGTGTGTTACATATGCCTCAGAGTTTAGAAAACTTATATACGCCTAATTTCGCAAAATGTCAATGGAGACACACTTTATAACTTTATATTCTCTATAAAAATTATTTCCCCAGAGAGGGCAATTATTGATAATAAATTAAATGAATTTTAGTAGCACAGAGTAAGCATGATCTTTCAATCTAGTCTAGCATAAGAAGGCATGACTGTTCTGCTTTCTTTAGGGGTAGGGTTGACATTGATTTCTTTAATGACTAACTGTGACTTTCCTTCTGTTTTTTCTTCAACATCATTTCTTTCTCTGAATACTTTGCCAATTCAGGCACCCCTTCCACCATCCAGAAAAGAGAGTTTAAGTAGCTCTTTGATAACCAGTCACACAAAGGGTGACATTTTAGATCAACTTGTGACTAACATACAAATTCCCTCCTGTAAAGAAGACTCTATAAACACAAAACCTTTGCAGAGAACTATGTGTTCTAATGAAGACACCAATCAGACAATTATATATTCTGAAGAATCTAACACAACTGTATCATACACACAAAAAATTACTAATTCACTACCTACACCTTCCAGTACAGACCCCCCACCAAATGTTGACATGAGTACCCCATTTCTACAAGAGGATTATATGCAAGATTCTCAAACACGGAGAATTTCTACATTGAAACTAATCCAGAACCAGGACTTAGGAAGCAGTATTCCCTTTAATCCCCCACAGTTTTCCAAACCAGTTGAAATACCCTCATATCTCAAAAAGTCTTGCTCACCACCCCCTAACCCAGTGCCTGAAATACACACAACATCTCTTTCCATTCAGATAGCTCCCCTTTCAGGACAGGATACTGAAAGCCACAAACAGCTACCTGAGCTTTCTTCAGAGACTACAAAGATACCTCTTCAGCAAGAGCAACAAAAACCTGCAGTTGCTGTGGCTTCTCAGTCCTCAGACTGCCAGGCGGTACTTTATACTTTCCACTCTCTTCTTACAAGTGTACTGTGGGGACCCTAATACTTCTGGTTTGCACTTCTTTGATAACCTAATGCTTCATTAGTTTTCACGTTGAAAGGGAAAGGAGAAAGAAACCTTCTTCCTATTTCAAACCCTATTAAATTATCTTAAATTTTTGAAATATTCACATCTTTTATCCAGACTTTGTGTTCTACAGTTTTTTCCTTGGAGATATTTATTAGGAATCAGTAATGATCTACTACCACTTATGACTCTGTAAAACACCTTAGCACTCAAAATATTTTTAAATTAAAACAAAAACATATATTTCTCATGTCTGACCTTTGGTACCTAAGTCTACTTTATTTACATGTATGTGATATCTTTAAGTGTCAATTATACTCACTTTGACAAGAAATATTTATCTTAATTCAAGCAGCATTCACCCCTTTTCAATATCCATTTTTACTAAAACTTGAATTTTTACCTTTTTAAATGTATTGCTTCAGAAAGTATATTAATCAGCTGTTGATAATCAAAATGTTAGCAAGGAAATATTTCCCTATATGTAAAATTCTCTGAAACGACTGTTCTTCTAACATTGTTAATTTATTTAGAAGAGAAATAGATGTGTTTATCAACAAACATTTGATAAACACCAACATCTCCTGCCTCACTGAGAGGACAGATAGCTTTGAAGGGGAAAGGACATCCAGGCAGAGTGAGAACTTTATGGTAGAAGCTTGGTGGATTGTTCAAGGACCAGCAAGGTTGCCAGTGAAAAGGAGAGTCAGGTAGTAAGTGTAGTGTAGAATAAGAGGAAATGCTGTGAAGGTTAACAGATATCAGATTATAGAATTCCCTGCAAGCTATTGCAAGGATTTCCATTTTATTCTCAATTCAAATGGCAGTCATTGCGGGGAGGGAGGGACCAGGGGTTTGAAACCACCACTATTATTGTTTGTCTTATAGCATAACAAAATCACGATAATTTGGTTGAGAACAAATATCACAGGGCAATAAGAAGAGTGAAGAAGTTGGCTAGGTAACTATTGCAACGATTTAAGTGAGAAATTATGGTGACACAAAGCAGAGTTGAAGCTGTAGAGGTAGTGAAAAGTTGGAATCTGAATGTTCTTTGAAAGTAGAGTAAATAGAACTTACTGACAGATTGTATGTGGGATGTCAGAAAAAGAGTCAAGAACAACGCCAAGATTTTAGGTCTTTGCAACTGGAAACGATGGAATTTGTTGTCAACGAAGACTAGATGACTATGGGTAGACAACTATGGGACAAGCAGATTTGCATAAAAGTGAGAGGAGACATGATCAATTTGAGATGTCTACCAGACATTTATGTGGCGAGGTCAAGTTGCGATTGCATCTCTGAGTTTGTAGTTCAGATAAAGGTTCAGGTTGGAGACCTAAACCACCAGCTCATAGGTGGTTTTTGTAGTCTTGAGACTGAATGAGATCACCATGGCATAAGTATAGGGAAAAGTAGCATAAGCACTGGGCCCACGTGCACTCCAGCAGTAAGAAGAAGAACTAGCAAAGACAACTACAAAGAGTGTCAGAGGAACAGAGAAAAATGTGACAACCTCAAAGCCAAACGGGAAAGTAAGAAAGGATGGCTAGCTCTGCTAATCTCTGTTGATAGGGCAAGTGTAAGATGTGCTTTATCTTACTGACTTCATAGAGGTTAAGGAGGACTTCCTTGAACCAGGCTAAAGAGAGACTAGAAGATCAGTTGGACAGTCAGCTCTTGGAAAGTGTTACTGGCTATTCCCCCTCCCTGAGGCTCAGTTACATCATATAAAATGAGGGTAATAGTAGCATTCATCTTGTAGTATTGCTGTGCAGTTTGAATAAGATACTACATCTAAGGAACTTGGCACAGTAACTACTACATGTAACACAAAAACCAATAAATCCCCTAAAAAAAATACTCAACAGCTATTGCTACTTTCCCAAGTTACACATATGATTGGGAATAAGAAATCTATTATTTTCAAGAATATTTCTTTTTTAAGCAGTGAATAAGAGTTTATTTCATCCAACCAGTAGTTTGTTCCAAGGTACATTGTAGTGTCTTTCATACAGTTTTCTTAAAGTTGGTTTAGAGCTGTGCAGGTTGGACTTAATGAAAATTGTGCTGAGAATATTTAATGTAAGATCTATCCTTTGGACATGCTTGTCTCATTTTCCATATAATTGGCTCCCATCATAGTTATCTTACATATGCAGTACTTATGTTCCACCTTCTGGAAATGTCTTAGTAAATGCCAAAAGTTGTAAGCTACACAACATGAATAAGCCACATACATGCTCTATTACAAGAAATCATCTTCCCAAGAAATTAGTGGATCCAATAAATAAATACTTTCTACACTTAGAGGTGAAAAGAAAACATAGATGTTCTAGAGGTTTCATTTACAAAATTTGTTGTTTTTCTCAAATACTATTAGTTTAGGAGAAAACTGTAGCCTACTATTAGAAAGTTAAATTTCTTCATATTCAATACTATGAAATATTGTTTTTAAGCTATGTGCTTTAATTTACCTCCTATAATGAGACAGAGAACATAAATGAGATATGTCACCCTTCTGTGACTATGTGAACAGATATCCTGCCACTAAAAATATCTCCTTTTTCTCCATGTCATTCAAATGAAAGTCTGAGCCAGAAGCTTTGAAGTGATAGGAAAAGCTATGCCCCATCATTTTCTCTGGCATCTATTAATGTTATGATCTTTACTTCACGAGGATAAACTTGCCCCTTTATAATGGAATAAAGTACTCAATCATTTCCCAAAGTCTCATTTCCACAGCTGCTACTGTACAGATGTTGGAGACCCAACAGGCAATTATTCTCACTACCATGTAGAAGAGGGAGGAACGCCTCTCTTTTGCTCCATGAGATCGAGATGTAAATGTTAAAAAAAAAAAAAAGAATAATGAGTAAATGTCAGCACTGTGGTCTGATAGAAAAATGTAGAATATAACACATACTCTTAGACAATCTTGACTCATCAGGACCAACCTAGACCCCTTATGTGTTTCAGTAGTGTGGGCAGTGAATACATCACAACTTCTTCTTGTGTGAGTTTATTATGCTATGAGTTGATCAGATTTTTCACAATTTCTACATCTCACGTGTATAAATGTTTTCCAAACAGTGACCAGTGGAATCTAGAAACCACTTGGGATCCCTTCTACAACATCGGAATCAATGAGCCTTCAGCCCTTTTTTATTTTGTCCAGTTTTAGGAGGAACATGCCCTCTGCTCTCTACTAGGTCCCAACATTGCCTCACATCTAACAGAGACCAGATTTGCATATTCCAGATATGCATCCTGGTTCTGTGGAGTCACTTGTCAACATCCAAACCAATACACTTTTTTCACTGCTGATCCTTATCCTCTCTGTGTGTCCAACCTGCTTAAATATTTGAGGAGTTCAACCCACACTTAGTGACTTCCTTCATTTGGGTGGGAGGAATCTTCTTAACATGCTGAGCGGAGTTCATTTGGATCTAGAGACTCAATGTTATCATGAAATACCAAGTGCGCTCTTCTAGAATATGAAGTCTATTGTAGTGTTAAGTACTGCCTCTTTTGTGGAGACCAGT